GGATCTACTTGGAGCAGGTCCCGTCCAGCGCCTCCACGGGGAAGGCAACCCGACTCAGCAATAAGAGGACCGTGAAACCGCCGATTGTCACATCTAGCATGCGGACCTGCTCGAGACAGGTCCCGGCCAGCGCTCCTACGGGGAGGACGGCCCGACTCAGAAACAAGAAGACTGAAAGCGTCGACGGACACGAAAAACAGCATGACAGCATCGGATGGCACGTCCAGCGCGCTCCCCTTGTGATGCACGCTCCCGGCTGGGCCACTCGAGAGAGGCGCCCCTGTCCAGCTCGAAAAACAACATATGCCCATCGAGGTACACGTCCAGCGTGTGCACCTGCTTGCTTGAGCATGGCCCCAGCCAGGCCGCCCAGGAAGGTGGCAAGCCCTGGCGGCCAGAAGAGAACCGCTAGCAACGTGATGAGCACGTCTGACGCGCCCGCCCCTATCCCTCCACCCCCCGCTCAGGGCACTGACGGGGGTGAGGGGCCTTCACCGGCCCCCTGCCTGCAGCCGTTCCTGCTGCTTCAGGGCGCGCCTGCGAGCAATGTAGGCTTTGCGGTCCGCCGTTTTGGTGCGGCACTTCTTGTGCATGGCTTTGTTGCGCAGCTTGCGGGAGTGGACCACGTCGGCCCGGGTGGTGTGATTTTTTCATGAACATGTTGGTGGCGGAGTACGCCATGTTGGTGATCTTGGGAGGCGGCATGCCTTTGCACTCCCGCCAGTGCTTCGTGGCTGCACTGAACCTTTGGGAGGCCGTGCGCCCCTGGAACGATCTCGGCGCTGGCCACCCACAAGTGCACTTGTAGCAGTCCCCGGCCGCGTAGTCCAGGTCCAGCCCTTCCATCACCTCCTTGAACTCGTCCTGCAGTCCCATCACGCTCGCGGCGCCCTTGGAGCACACAGGATCAGCAGTCTTGGAACTTGCTGACTGCGCGCGGCCAGCGCCAGCAGAGCCAGCGGCGCTGAGGGAGAGGGCAAGCAGCGACAAGGCGTCCTCCTCCAAACCTTTCTTTTGGAGGCCCACGGCAGGGTACGGGAAGACATTGTCCCTCAACAGCTTCAGCGTGTTCTTGAACTCAGCCAGATCGGTGACGCCTTCCTTCGGCTCCAGCCACTCGTAGTGATGGTCCTGGAGCTTCAGCCACATCTCCTTGGCCTTTGGCGTTGCCTTCGCTTCCCAGCCGTAGAGGGTCCACTGGGTTGACCCCTTCTGCTGGGACCAGACGTAGATGTCTGTCTTGCAGGCTTCCGAAAGCAACCGCACGGCGAGTGAGGTCGCCGGCGTGCCAGTGAGGCCAGCGGTCTCCGCATCCGTCATTGCGGCGCCGAATTTCTTCTTCAGGGCAATTGTATGCGTCAGGAGCCGGTGGGTGCCCTGCAGGCGGCCTTGAGGCTCGAAATACTTTGTGGCAGGGACCCCAGCCGTCGGCGAGACCGCCTGGAAACCGCGGGCCGCGGCTATGTAGAAGCAGTCGCCGTCGCCTCCACAAGGACGATTGTGGAAGAACTTCTTGAACGGTGGGTCGTGTGGACTGCCCACTGCTTGCCCGTCATGGCATTTGCGGCCCTGCGGAGCAGGCTCGCCTTTGGGAGGCGCCGCAGGTTTCTTGCCCTCCGTGTAGACCTCGGGCGCAGTGGCAGCATCCAGCTGGCCCTCGGAAGGGTGGACGGCGCATCTGCTTCGGGGAACTGCTCCGAGGGCTCAGCTTGCGGAGTGGGCTTCGGGGCGCCCCAGCGGCTGCGCGCAGTCTCCCCTTTAGCATCCTTGGTCTTGGCCGGCTTGGCGACGGCACGAGCTGGGGCTCGCGTGACCACCATGCTGGAGGAGAAGCTGGAAGTAGTGGCGGGCGCACCGTCCTGTGCGTCCGCGAAGAACGTCCAGGCGCGAGGCCTTGCTCGGCAGGCCTGGGCAACGCGGAGGAAACCGCGTCCCGTTGCCCACTCCATCAGATCTGTCGGCGTGAGCCAATTCAGAGGCGTGTGCTTTTCGAACCACTTCGTTAGCTCTGCAGCTCCCGGCGCAGTCGTAATTGAATTGACTACCCCGAGCCGGGCATTGTGATGAGGTCGATAGAGAAGAGCCCCGCGCTTGCCTGCACCAGCTGGCAGACGCGGTTGTAGTAAGCTTCGCCGCCTTGCCCTCGTCATCATCCCTGCGGCTGAACCACTCTGGCACCTCCTTGGAGCTCTGGGGCATCACGAAGCATCCAACCGGCGGGGTAATCTGCTTGGTCGCGTCGACGTGGCTTGTCGAACAGTCACCACGCAGGTGGCCTCCGATTCGTAGCTGATCGCGCCACGCGTGCGGAAGGCCTTCTCCGCAGCGGCGTCGCCGAGGACCACCGCAGGGATGGTCTGGGGCTCGTTCTTGGCGTGCTGGTAGACCTGGTAGATGGCTTCTGAGGCGAACTCCTGCACCACTGTAATACGGAAAATGGCCACAGTATTTTTTTCGGGAACAATCGGGCTGTCGTCCGTTATCTTCGCATGCAGGGTCGTGCGCCGGCGCGCCTGGTCACCCGAGAAAAAGATCTGTGCTTTGGTCTTGACGGTGCCTTTTCGGCCCTTCCACCAGGACGACCTCGGGCCCCTGCGGGTCAAGGACCACCGCGGTGATGTTGGCCTCGTTGCCCATGGCCTTTCGGACTCGCTCGCTGGCCTCGTACTCGGCGCTGGTGAGCGCGAGCACGACGAGCGGCTCCGTCTCCGACTCCATGACGGTCTTCGCCGTCGGGGCTGCGATGATCTTGGCCGTGCCCCACGGCTCGCTAACCAAGCGTTAGTTCGTCGAGCTCGAAAGGCTCGTGCCCCCTGGGGCCTCGGGGGGTTCCCAGGCGGGGGCATTCGGCTCGAAGGTCGCGATGACCTCGCGCAACTTGTTTACGACCTGGGCTTGGGTTTTCTGAGGATGAGGATGGGGAGCTCGGTGGGCTCCCTCCTCTTCCTCGGCTTGGCCTTGGCTTTCGCTCGGGGCTGGGCCGCCGGGGCGGTGGCCTGGCCCGTGAGCTCGATCTGGAGCTCCGCGACGGCGGTGGCCAGCGCTGAGAGCTGTGACTTCATGGTGCTTTCGGTGCGCAGGCGCTTGGCTCCCCTGCCGCCTCCCTTCCCTCCACCTCCGTAGATCGAATCCCCATGCTCTCGAGGTAATTCGGAAAACATGCCTTGGGTGAAAAGGTCCTTCTCGTCAGATCCCGTAGACGAGAGGTGGGTCACTAGAGACTCGATCGGCTCGAGCGTAAAAATGGACTCGTACTTGGTCGCATCGGTGGACATGTACCCGCCGGGTCCCCCAAGTAAGAGTTGAAACGCCCCCAGAAATTGCACTGGTCGAAACTCTCCTTCCCCACAGGGCCCATGGACTGGACGAGGCCCCCTAGAAACTCGATCGGCTCGAGCGCGAAACTGTCGTACTCGTACTCGTTCGCGTCGGCGGTCGAACGGCTCCCCAGACCCCGTGGGTAACACACAAGAATATCCTCCGACACCTCCGACAGCTCTCCAGAAGAGGAATCGAGACAATCCGCTCCGTCTGTGTATGCCTTACTGGCACTTTTCCAGCACATCGGGCCCGAGAGTGCAGCTCTTCGGCCGCTCGTTCGGTCCCCTTCGCGGCGCCACCGGGCCCAGCGAGCCAGAGACGCCCCCGCCGCCGCCAAGGCCACGATGGCGTAGACAGGGGGCTGCTGCTTGGTAGCCTGGTCGGTGTTGATGTAGGACATTTCCGTCCCCCTCCCAATGGTGGTCTCCGTCGCGGCCGCCGCACCCCAGCCAGCCATCGCACTGGCGGGGCGTCGGGCTCGAGGTTCGGACGCGGGTGTACGAGATTGCAAACAAAACCTTGCCATTCGGGTGCTTTGCTAGGGTCATCTCTTCAGTCAAAGTTGGCCCAGGATGGGCCGGGCCGGGATTGATGTTGGAGCATGTGGTTGGTGCCCTCCTAGGAGGGTGAATCTGGGGGGAAATGTGCGGGGCGGCATGAGATCTCTCATATCCCCCACGGCCCCCTCCTCTTCCTATTCTATATTATTCTTCTTCTTCGTCTTCTTCGTCGTCTTCCTCCTCAAGACATTACGACCCCTGGCCCCCCTATCGTCCGCGCACATGCCCCGGGCCATGATGCGGTGACCCCACTCTTGATGGCCCCCTGTTCGACGCATCCGAAGATGGAGGCGCTCGCGGAGGCTCTCCGAGCCCCCTGGCAGGGTCGCGAGAGCGATGGCACTGGTGGTTGTGCTTCCTGCTTGGTGAAAGCTCCCGCCCCACCCTCCCTCCCTCTCTCCCTCCCTCCTCCTCCGTCCCTCCTCGTATCCCTCCTCATATCCCCCTTCCATTTTAGACAGGATTTCAGCAACTGTTTCTTTTATGGTGCTTACGATCCACTTGCATTCGGTGTTTCAAAATGGTATTCCCACTGCAGCAGGCCTCAGTTTCGGATCGGTGCGCTGCTCCTGTCGTTCAGAATGGAGCTCTCGCCCCAGCGCGGGCCACTTTTCTGGTTCGGAGTCTTGCTTCATTGTGGTACCCCCCATCATTTCTAAGATTCCGTCTTCCCCCGGTCCTCGTGCCCCTCCCGCCCCTTTTACTCCAGGTTCTGCTGGTGCTGCTGTCTCTGCTGTTCGTCCCGCCACAGCGCGGACTATTTTTTGGAATCCGAGTCATGATTCATCGTCGTCGCCCCCCCTTCAATTCCCCTCCTCCGCCTGCCGCTGGTCCTCCTTTCCCTCCCGATCCTTCCGCTTTAGTTCCTGCTGTTGCTGTTCGCCCTCATCTTTTTCTTCCCGCTGGTCCTCCTGCTCACCCGTTACCTCCTCCTCCTCCTCCTCCCCCGTAGCCATTGTGGCTCAAGGCCATGGCGCGCGGCGGCGTCCAAATGGATACCGCTGTGCCGCGGCCAGGACTCGAGATTCCTTTGCAGCCACCCCCAGGGCGAGCTGCCGCCAAAGACTGGTCCGCCTGGACCCACAGTTTTGTGCCCGCGAGGGCTCTCCATCGCAACGCATGGCGGCCGAGGAGGAGCGGCGCAGGGCTGGTCGCGCGGGTGGCGGCCACCGTGGCCCTGGCGCTGCTGATGGGCGGAGGCGTGCTGACAAAGGCAAGGAGCAGCCACCCGCCGAGGACCTCCGCTCGGCCTCCCGCAGCACCAACGAGCGAGCTCCTGCGCGGAGGCGAGCTCGGCGGGGCCACCCGCGCTCCGACGGCGAAGCGGATGCCTCGGGCTCGCCGGCCAGTGATCGAGCACGCCATGGACCTGGGGGACTCGACCGTGCTGCACAGGATGAGCTTGCCGCTGCCTTCGAGGCCGCGGCCACCTTCCCCTCGCAGGAGCGGCAGGCCATGCAGGTGGAGCAGGCACCCACTGGCAACCCACAAGCTGGGCCTCAGCACGCTCCCCCTGACCCGTGGCAACGACCTGGTGGGGACCCGTGGCATGATCGAGCTGCTCCTGCCGACGGTCACGCTGTACCTCCTGCGGCGGGCACTCCCATCGGCGGGATGGCCACCCCCGTGGATGCTGGCGGCATGGACATGCAGGCCATGCTGCAGAGCTGTATTCGCCAAGCTACCGATGCCATCGCCGCTACTTCCATGGCACAAGTCACGTCATGCCAGACGCAGCTGGTACGCATGTTTCAGACCCAGCAGGAGGCTGTCAACATATCCCTCGCAGTGCAGACGCGCGACATTGCTTCCATCGGCCAGCGCGCCGACGCCCTGGAGGCGGAGCAGGCCGCCATGCGCAAGCAGATCGGCGACATCAACAAGGCCTTGGCCCTCGCGGAGAAAGAGTTGCCCCTCATGGACTTTCAAGAGCTGGAGGCGTGGTCTCGTCAACCCAACCCGCGGATCTTCTCGATCGGAGCGCCGCAGTTGGTTGGACCCGCCCAAGCGCTGCAAGGCCTGGAGGAGTGGATTCGGGCTGCTGGCCTCACCAACGACATGGTCCGCCTCGACCCTGCGGTCCCCTCCAAGCGCTTCAACGTCCTGGTGCAGGGCGGCGACGGTGTCGCACTACCGCGAGCCCAAGCTCTTGCACGGCAGCTACGTGACCCTGCCGGCAGGAACGGGTGGCGAGCCTTCTGCGCCCAGAGCGTCGGCGGTGGCACCGTCCCGCTGTACATCTCGCCCGACAAGTCACCGCAGCAAGTGCGAATGGAGATTCAGTCGAGGAGGCTCTCGGCCCTGTTGGCAGAAGCTCATCCTGATCTCTCTTTCAGTGCTCAGCGAGCCCGTGGCATCGTCACCTCTCAGGGCGTCAAGGTTGCCAAGCTCGAGATGGGCGAATCCCGCTACACCGACACGATCATCAGGTGGAACCCAGACATGGTTGCCAGGCTGCACATCGACAGGGAGTCCATCAACATGCAGTTCAAGAAGGCCTTCTCCTTCGAGGACAATACCGAGTGGATTTAGCACCCCTCTGTGGGCGCCCTGGCGTCCCCCTGGCGGTCGACATGGCTTCCGTGGCCTTCACATGGCAGTGTGGAACGCCCGTGGCCCGCTCCACTCGGACGCGAGGCTGCGAAGACGCAAGCTGGCACTGCTCGCATCGTACATGAAGGTCAACGCCGTCATCGCTGCGCAGGAGGTCCACGGCTCCGAGGACGCCCTCGGGATCTTCCTCCAGGCGCAGCCGCAGAAGTACTTGAGCTTCCTCTCGCCTGGCCCTTCTGCTGCCGTGGGTAGAGTCGCCTTTCTCGCCCCTCGACACGTCGATGAATGTCCAAGGGCGGAAGGACCCAGAGCCGAATCTCTGGGAAGCAGGGGCGCTGCGCCGCGGGAGGGTTCCCATGCGTGCGCTTCGCCTCCTGCATCATCCTTACCGACTCAAGATACCTGGTCAAGCACACGAACCTCCGCGTCTTCATCGGCAGCAAGTCGCCCCGACACCTGGTCAAGTACACGAAGTCCCCCGTCGACATCCACGTCAATGCCGAACTACACCCGGTCAAGCTCACGAAACGCCACTCCTGCCCTGCCGCCCTACCGCTTCGACATAGTGGCGGCCGGCCGCGCGGCGCTCCTCGCGATCACCGACAGCGCGGGCAAGTACAGCATGCAGATCTTCAACATCCACAACTACGACCTCAAGCCGCACGAGTTCTCTGCTATACAGCGCACTTGGTCCAGTGGCCTGGCGTGGGCGCGCCGTGACTCGTTGCATCGCATCTTCCTGGGCGTCGGGGACTTCAACATTGCCTCCCGTCCGCCAGTCAGTCAACGTGCGCCCTCTGACGCTACGGCGTGGCGCCTACGACCTGATCACCGATGCCAACTTCGGCAACCTGCGTGGCGCCGTCTATTCGCTGCTGCCATGGAGGTTGAATCCCAATGGCCGACTCACTACGACAAGTCCTGCAAGCAGCTGTCCACGATTGACCGCATCTTCTTGGGCATCGACGCGCGCGCCATGCTTTCGGTCTCAACGATCCTGACCACTGCGAGGGATGCGATGGAGCTCTCCGAGGCGGGCATCAGTGACCACGCGCCTCTCGTCCTGCAGATTACTGCCGCTCGCCACGTCCCTCGAGACGAGCAGCCAATCCCGACGCACCTCTTCAACCACAGGAAGTACCCCGAGGCATACTCGCCCATGCTGGACCACTGTGCCCTGGAGGGGGAAACGGCGGAAGGTCGTTGGAGAGCAGCGAAGCAGTGCATGAAGCTTGCTGCGCGACGTGTTCGGGGCGAACAGTTGAGGACCAACTTCTCCCTCCTCGTCAAGGACTCCACGGTCGAGACCTCGCACATGGGTTTCAAATCGGCGGCGCGAGCCGTTTGGAGACAGGACGCTGTCCTTGCGGGTAGGCTTCTCGACTCCTGCCCCGCGCTGGCTGCCCACCTCCAAGTTACCGACGGCAACGTGCACATCGTGGACCCCAACAGCTTTGCCACTAACTTCGACGCCATCGCCGAGCGGGTGCACTCTCTGAGAAGGCAGGCGGCGGAGGCCGCAGCTCGGACCGCCAACGTGCGCGACAGCGCAGCTTGGCGGAGAGTTGAACGCAAGGCCGCCAGACATGCGCAGCTATGGGTTCCGTGGCGGCGTCGCATGATCCTCTCGGGCTTGCGCGTGGACTCCGCCCCGTGTGCCGCCAAGGACTCGCAGGTGGCTCAGCACGTGGTCACCGACCCCGCGGGCATGAAGATGACTGTGGCGAACTACTGGAGTGAGATCTCCGCGAAGGTGCCGAATTCTGAACAGCTCAAGACACTGGACACATTATTGGACAAGCATGCACCGAGGAACCCTGTGGTGGAACTTCCTCAACCTGCCCTTCACAACCTGGAACGTGCGGTCAGCAGGGCACCACCAAGCGCTGCGGGACCAGACCAGCTGACGCATGCAGCATGGCGCCGCAGCCCTGGAGCTTTGCAGCATCTCCATGGGCTCATGGAAGCCCTCTTCAACGACGGAGTGGCCCCGCTCGACCTCAACTGGTCGATCTTCATCTGCGTCCCTAAGGGAATGGAGGAGGACGACGTCCCAGACTCCTGCACGCGCACGGCATCCACGGTGCGCACCCTCTCCCTCAAGAACTGCGACGCCAAGCTGATTGCGGCCTGCGCGGATCGAGGGCTCCAGCCCATTGCCACCTCATCTACTTCACCCGAGCAGAAGGGCTTCACTGCTGGGCGGCGTTTCGTCGACCACATCCCGTTCTTGGACGCGGAGTGCCGCAGGGAGGGCCTCCTTCCTGATGCTGTGACCCGCCGCCCCATGTTCCTGTCGTTCGACTTCCGCCAGGCCTTCCCTTCGCTCTTCAGGGAAGTCATCGAGAAGGTCCTCCCGCGCTTCGGGGTCCCGCTGGGCTTCCGCAGCGTGATCGAGGCGCTCTACAGCAACTGCCTCGCCTTCAGCTCCTTCCGTGCCGAGGGCACCAGTGCGGAGCTCGAGCCGTTGTTCGCGCTCATGTGCGGTATCATGCAAGGATGCCCGCTCTCTGGCACGGTCTGGCGCTTGGCCATGGATGCCCCCATCCGTGCCCTTCTGGCGGCGATCGCCGAGCATGGATCCCTCATGGCCTGCGCGGACGATCTCGGGATGCTGATCAAGAACGCGGTCGTCCTCCCGAGCATTGACCACACCTTCGTCTCCATAGAGCTCGCCTTCAATCTGCAGCTGGCGTTGCACAAGTGCGCGCTGGTCCCACTGTGGGAGGAGATCACGGACGACACACTGCAGAACGTCAAGTCCTTCCTCGCTGAGGAGGTCCCCCGCTGGCTGGGCTTCCGCATCGACTCCTCGGCCAAGTACCTGGGAACTCACCTGGGCCCTGGCGTCACGGACTTCGGCATCTGGAAGGCTGCGGCGGGGAAGTGGTGGACCCGCTGCTGGGAGCTGGCGCGCGCGGGCATGGCCACCAGCCTCGCGGCCCGCGCGTGCAACATCAACGCGCTGCCGTGCCTGTCGTACCTTGCGCAGTTCTACTTCATCGTGCCCGCCATCTGGAAGGTCGAGTTCACCTCCCTGCACCGCTTGCTGCGATTGCCGCCGTCGTCCATGCGCAAGGCTGACATCCTATCGTTGAGCGCGTGGTGTGGCTCACCGTCGCCGATTGGCCTCTTCCCATGCACGATCGCCGCGATGATGCGCTCGGCGGAGAACACGGTGCGTGGATGGGAAGCTCACCTCCGCCACCTCCATGAAGCTGCAGTGGAGCATGTTCCGCTGACCGACGTGATCAAGGGCAACTGGTCCCCACCGTGGTGGCGGACGAGGAGGGCGATCGTGCAGAACTACGCCTTGATCTCGGATGCCTACGGCCAGCTCGACATTCCCAGACCGACGCTTGACACGATCGCGGTCCCGATCCCGAGCAGGTTCATCCAGAAGGCGAAGTCGGCGATGCTCCTGGAGACGAAGACGGCGGCTGCAGCCACTCCTCCCAGGAAGCCCAAACGCCAGGCCACGGCCGCTGCTGTTCTCCGTGGCTCGCTGTACCCCGAGGACCTCGTGCCCACCTTCCACCGCCGGCTGCGCAGGTGGGGGGTCGAGTGCTCGTTGCCCGTGCTGCGCGAGAGATGGCCTCCGCTGCGTAGCAAGCTGACGGAGGTCCGCCCTGCCTGGATGTGGTCGTGGATGCGCGCGGCGGTCAATGGCTGGACGACCTCGCGCCGCATGAGCGCCGTCATCGACGCACGCCCGTGCCTCTTCGGCTGCGACGACGAGGATGCGCTCGAGCACTACATCCACTGCCCGATCCTTCGGGCGATGGCCGCGGGCGACACGGGAGCGGACGCCATCGGCAACGGCCTGGAGCTCCTCGGCTTCGGCGACGAGCTGTACCACTCGAAGCGGCCCATCGCGGACTGCATCTACACCGTCGGCCTCATGTGCCAGTGCTACCACATCCAGAAGTATCGGATGGACGTGGGCCTGGCCGTGGGCGCCGACCAGCGGGCTAGCGTGAGGCTGGCCGCGCTCCATCGCATGCAGGCTTAGGCGTGGCTGCAGCTCAACCTGCCCGCCGAGCTTCGTGCCCTCCTCCTCCCCCTCCTCCTCCTCCTCCTCATCCTCCTGCGCGCGCAGTTCCTTTTTTTCCGATTGCGTATAATCCGAAGTGGTCTTTCTGTGCGAGTCGCAGGTCGGCCATGACACGCGCCCCCGGAAGAGAAACATCAGTTGCATGGGACGGGATGGGAGGGAGGGACAGGATGCCGGATGAGGCGCGAGCGCACTTAGCCTGGCATACCCCTCTCTCCTCCTCTCCTTGCTCCCCCTTTTATCCTCCCATCTCCTCGTTGCAGTTACACGTTGTGAGTACTACTCTCCTCGCTCCCCCGAATGCGCCCTCAAAGTTTCCGCCCCCTCCCTATGTCTGTTACACATGGCGTGAGTGAGTTGGTCTTTCTTTTGTTCCCATCCAAGAGTGTTCAGTCTTTCCCCAATGGTGTTCCCGTTGCAGCGCGGGCCTCAGTTTAGGATCGGGGCTTTGCTCCCGTCGTTCAGAATGGCGTTTGCGCTCCAGCTTGGGCCACTTTTCTGGACCCGAGTCGTTCCTCATCGTTGTCGCCCTCCTCCGTTCCTCTCCCCCGCCCCCCCTTGGTCCTCCTGCTCCTCCCGCTCTTTCCACTCCAGCTCCTGATGTTGCTGTTCGTTCTAATCCTCCTCCTTCCTCATCCTCCTCTTCCTCCTGCTCATTCTCCTGCTCATCCGCCACCTTCTCCTTCTCCTCCTCGCCCTCCTCCTCGTCCTCCTCCTCCTCTTCCTCCTCCTCCTCTTCCGTAGCCATGTTGGCTCAAGGCGGGTGTGGTGGGTACTGGGGAGTACTTACTTTCACATCTCATTGAGTGGGCAGCTCTCTTCAGAGGGCAATTCGGGTGCGAGCCCGAGCGGACACAACCCCATCTTTTCTCATCCCAGTCCAGTTTCTGCCATGGCCGAGGAGATCGCGCGGCAAGTCCAGGCGGCCCTAGAGGTTTCCGTGAAAGCCCAGATTGACTCCCTGGGCACCACGCTCACGCAGACCTTCGCCACGCAGTTCGCGCAACTGTCCCAGGGGCTGGAGCGGAAGATTGCCGAGCAGAACGCTGGCATGACGGCGCAGACACATCACTTAGTCCAGATTCGGGAAACGCTACAGAAGCATAGTGCCGCCATCGCTCGTCTTCAGCATGAAGCATCGACCTCAGCAACAAGCTCTGCAAGAGGATCTGCAGATGGTAGTACATGGGCCAGTCGGCTTACTGAGCCAGCCGCCAAAATCCAGCGCACGTCAGCATCGGAGAATGCATCACCCAATTGGCACAATTCGCGATCTTATCAATATGACAAGTGTAGACGCTGGATCGGCACATTCCCTCGTGCGATTTTAGCAAGCATGAGACATGCACATGCTGCATCGTGGAAGGACAACATCCTGACGCCGGTCATGATGAACAATGTTACGCCGCAGTACCACCGCATCAGCCAGAACTACTCCCTCACCTTCTCCAGCGAAGCCATGGCGAAGGAGTTCACGGAGGTCTTCAACAACTCGAACAACCAGTGGATGGACCCGCGAGACGGATCGATGCACTACATGAAGGCCAGATCTGACCTGCCGAAAGACGTCAGGACCACACAGAGGGCGCTCAGCAAGGTATGGGACCCCATCATCGAGCTATTCGGAGCCAGCCCACGGTACGCTGCAGGTTCGAAGCCCATCATCAACGGGTACAAGGGCACGATTCACTGGTCAGATGGGAATGATGTTTGGCCGCTGGTCAGCTGCTCGGACGTCAACCATGCGTCGTTCACGTTCGACATAGATCAAGACACTGTCTCTTTCTTCTCCCTGGACACCGACAAGCTGAACAGGATCATGGAGGACGTCTTGAACAAGGCCGCCTACATCTAGGAGGAGCAGCTGGCATACTCGTCGAGCGTCGATGACAATCATGGCCAATCTTTTTGGGAGCATGAAAACATTACCAGCGTAGTCGGAGACTCATGCGCTTCTCTTTCGGCCAGTACCTGTCCCTCGGCCACCCCATCGACACAATGTTCCAGCTCAACATGGAGTACAGTAGATAGCACAGATTCGCGTGGGCCAGAAGCGTCCACAAAACCATTCTTGCTTGCGCAGCCGCTTCGAGTTTGCACCTGGAATGCCCAGATTCTTTTCCACTCCCTTTCTGCCTCTCACAAACACGGTGCGTCTAAATTTAAAGCTCTGGCCAGCATTGCACGGAAGATGGATGTAATTGTTGCGCAGGAGACCCATGGGCAGGAAGGGGGCCTTGAGACTCTGACCCGCGACTTTCCGAGATTCCGAGCCTTCGGTTCCTTCACTCAGGAGGCCCACGCTGGAGGTACAGCGCTGCTGGTCAGGGAAGAGCTCGCCGAGCAGTTCACGATGATAGATTCGCACGCGCTCGCGGCAGGTCGCATTCTCACGATTACTTTTCTGGGCCCGAAAGGTGCATTGCAGGTTACGAGTGTCCATCTGGATCCTGAGTGGTCTGAACGATCAACACGCGGTATTCTCCATTCTCTTTCTCGTTCCTTGCTCCCGCAGTTCCAGGCTGTGAGTATTCTGCTAGGGGGCTTTAATTTCCATGGACATGGGGAATGCAGACACTATCTTGAACCCCCTATTCCCAAGACGTCGCCATCACGTTTAGCTACCATATTTGATTATCTCTTTCCCCATTACTCCGAAGTCGACCACCCAGCCTATACTCATCGTGCATTCATACGCAATAAGCTGACATACGCTCGTCTCGATCGCATATACTGCAACACTGACACTGTCAATCTACTATATTATCGGCCTAATACTGGAGTCCTCTGGGAGGTTACAGACAGGGGCAAGCCCTCTGACCACGTTCCAGTCTTTCTTTGCCTGCATGCTCCGCGGCCTGCAGTTACAGGTCAAGGCTCTATACCCCCGTGGGTGGCCAAGCATCCGCAGTTCGGTGAGTTTGTCGTGGATCTTATCGCTACCACTGGGCTTTCGCCGCATCCCCCCACTGCTGTGCAGGAAATTAAAGAGATATTTCACATTGCCGCTGGCCACACTCGGAGGCATGTTGAGATCTCAGGCGCCCGCACACGGCCAGAGAAGGCTGCCTGCTGTCTCAAGCTTGTCCGTGCGGCGCGGTCTGGCAGCTACTATCATGCTCGGCGTGCTTGTCTGGGTTACAGGCACCTCTTCGCGTTTTTTTTTAACCCCGAGACGATGACCTGGCTCGATCAAGGGCGATTCCATGAGCATCTCAGTTCCATGATGCGCGAGGAGTACCAGGAGGAGGAGAGGGAGGTGTGCGAGAACAATGAGCTAGGTTCGGAAGCTGCTGAGCAGGCCATTCGTCGAGTCAAGCGTCTCTCTGCTGCATGGGCTGCACGGCGGCCTCGTATTAAGCTTGTTGGAGTTCGAGGACCTCAGGGAGAGGTCCGCACTGACCCTGAAGAGGCTGCTAGGCTTCTGGCTGACTACTGGGGCAAAGTCTTTGACAATGAAGAAGAAGGTTGTCTTGGGTCTGATCATGTTCTATTTCAGCACATCCAGGAGGTTGACGGCACGGGGCCTCAATATGTCACCAGTAGCCACCAGAGATTCGACTGGGTTCTGACCGAGGAGCATTTCAACGGCTTGATCGATTTCAAGCGCGACACAGCCACGGGCCCCGATGGCGCCCCCTATTCCGCCTGGCAAAGGACAGGTAAGAAGACGCGTGCTGCGCTATATGCCCTGCACTGCCACGCCATGTCTGGTGGCAGGGTCGCCCCCAGCTTTAACCACTGCAGGGCTGTGTTTTTGCTTAAAGGAGATGTTGTCCAGGGAGGGGAGGAGGTTCGCGATCCACATGTCGTTCGACCGCTATCGCTTTCGAATACTGATAACAAGCCCCTCAGCTCCGCCATCGCCCCGGTATTAAATCATGTCGCTGCTGAAACCTGCCACGTCGTCCAGAGGGGGTTCGTCAAGGGGGGGGTGATGAATGATAATATCATCAATATGGATGGTCGGCTCACGCTTTGGGGCACCGTCTATAGGCACACGGAGCGCGGCTTCACGCTCTTCGATTTCAAGAAAGCCTTCCCGAGTGTTTTTTTGCAGCTGGATCAATTGCGTACTGATTCGCATGAAATTGCCACCCTATCTCATCAATGCGGTAGAGGAACTATATGACGATATATGGACTTCAATAGTATGGGGTGGAGGGAGGCATGGCTTCTATTCCTTTCGAGGGGTGAAACAGGGATGTCCGCTCAGTGGTGTGCTCTTTGCGCTTGTGCTGGATCCAGCGTTTCGCTACGTAATACAGCTGCAGGAGCGCCTCGTATTTCAGATCGGCGCCTTCGCCGATGACATTTACTTAGTCGCACGCAACCTCTGCAAGACCCTGCCGCAGGTATTGGTGAGGCTTGTGCTGTCAGGTATGGTAACCGGGCTCACGCTTAACTATAAGAACTGTGTCATTGTTGTTTTGAATATGGTGGAGAAACAGGATGTCCTGGAGGCCTTCCGTGGTCGGGGGCTTGATGTTTCCCGTTATCAGATTCAGAGGTCTGGCAAACTCCTGGGAATTCAGGTCGGTGAGCGTGGCTTTCTTGACGCCTGGCAGCTTGTTGCAGTGAAAATTAGGAGCAGGACAGGGGACGTGCGGTGCCTGGGGCTGGGCTTCATCCAGTCCGCGCAGGCTTTCAACACCTACGTCGTCCCTGTCACATCGCATGTTGGGCAGTTCTACCTGCCGTCTAAGGAACTCGTTCGTGCAGAACGAGAGGCGCACCAAAAGCTTCCTCGTGCGCCGCGGCATGTTTTTCCTCCCAAGGCCATGTTCCACCTCAAAGAGCTAGGTCTTCCTGTGCAGTGTCGCTCTATGGAAACCCTTTGTCGCGCGTCCATGCTACGCTGTGCCATCCGCTCGGAAGAGTTCCATGCTATGCGCTCCATGTATAATGCTGCCCAGGAAGACGACAACAGGACCCTAACGTATAAGTGGAACCCGCAC